GGGGGGGGGGGGGGGCAATCAGTTCGATCAATAACTCGTTGGTCGGCTCACACATGTCGTGACATAATAAGATGGATAGAGAGGAACAAGAACCAAGGGTGAAGTAAGGAATGTACAAATGGAATCAGAGTAAATTAGACACGAGGAGGACGATAGTAGTAGGAGATCAATACGGATTCTGTTGATGAAATGGGTAAAGGGAAAAGCAGGTTTCACAAAAGTTATGTCTTGCATCAATTATACAAAAAAAACAGTGCTGGTTATGGGAAAACATACTGATCACAAATAAAACTTGTGGATTCGGCGCTTGAGGATAGAAAGATCACAACAAATGACAGAGAACTGCGTTCGAGTGGATGTGTTCCGGCTCGGTTGAATGCTCTAATTCGACCGGTTTTAAGGGTCTGATTCAGTTAGGACGAATTAGTGCTCATATTCGAATTCATGCACCTAATCCCTGTTGTCTGTGCGTATGTAGGGGGGATGCAAAATATTCTGAGGAGTGCCCATAGCAAATAAGTTTACCCATTTCAAAGTGTATCAGAGATCGAGTAACAAGTAAAGTTTTTGATATCCCATAGAATGTTTACGTACTGGGATAAAAACCTGGGCTGGAAGAGAGAGAGAGTCTCAAGAGGTGCAATCATGACACCGGAAAAGAAATAGAGATAGTGGTGATAGTATTCAATCGCGGACAACCTCTCATCAGTTTATCACCGCGATTGATAAAACCCGCCACCCCCCCCCCCTGACTTTGCCTCCTTTCCATGTGCTGTATCGCAGCCTTTCGTAAAAACTGTATCATAGTGTATTCAATAGCGGGAAGTAAAATAGTAAAGTGTCATTTAGCCCACCCATCTACTGGACTAACCTTTCTACCGGAACAGCCGAGAAATGTTTCATCCTCAAACCGTTAATGCATGCTGTTGTATCTCGTATAAGTCAATCAGTACACAAGCGGTAAATTGAGTAGCTATCCTATTTCCAGTATGTAAATGCAAACGTAGCCGGACAGTAGGCCGTGCGTCAACACGCAAACGGGCAGGCACCAAAACTGCGTTTCCAAAAGGAGAATGCCACCACGTTGGGCAATCAACGAACCAATTGATGCGGACAGGTCAATACTGACTTCTGATTCGCCGAGGCGGATCGACCTTGTAACAGAGTAAGTCGCATGAGGTGCGTTCGTGCGTGCGTGCGTGTGGTGGCAGGGCGCAACGGTCAATCACGTGATGGGCACATCACATGTCAGATTCGGACTAGGAGGAAGCGGGGCACGGGATGGCGAGGGAACGCCGGCAGACAGGTTTCCTCCGTGGGTTGGGGTTTGAAGTTAAACCTGCACCGGAAAACAAAAAAACGCCATGAACCAAAACAGTTCAGTGAGATAACAGCATTCACGATAAAATATTACTGGCTGCGGTTGCCAAGCTTTACACAAGAATACTTTTTAGACGTGGAAAGCACCGATAGTATTGAATTTAACTATCAGTCGGGCCCACGAGTGAGCACAAAACGCAGTAGAAGTGCCTAAAATGACAACCGGAGACTTTGAGTTATGTAACGAAACGACAGAGAGAGAACACGAGTCAATGTAGGTAGGACTGGGAATTCGCCAGATCAAGTCAGTCTGTCATTCAGCTTGAAAAGTGTTTGAAATTACTGGGCAGGTGTACCTATCCCTCTTCACGCATGTCACTTGTGCATTTAGAAGACTTAAGTGTTGGGTGGTTGAAGCACGTTGTTTTCTCTCGAACAGATCGTATTGTCACTTGTATCCTCATTTTCTGTGCTATTCGAAACTTCATTAGCTCCGTTAAGTCACACATGCGTATCACACGGTTTAATGTCGTCCACTCAGTTTTTATTTTTAACCCAATCAGCTGATCCGAACAACTGAAACTTTCTTCAGAATGGTGTGAATCCCTTACTCCCGATGGTGTTTGAACACCGCTGTCTACGTCGCATTGTATGAGTCTGGCGGGGTAACCGGACGAGCAATGCTGAGGTTAGGCGTACAGTTTTCGGTAATCGCGGTCGTCCACTGGTCTGCGGAGTGAGACCATATGCTCTCATTGAGTTGAAAAAAAACCAGGTATAAATAATGTGCTCAAATACGATTGAAAATAATCGGGGATGCCTGTAATTCCAGTACTGAGCGATAGCACATGCATCCAGGCCATACTAATCAACGATTCGGATATTTTCTTCAATCACGAATTCGTTCTTTATCCTACTAATTAGTGATGTTAAAGTCACACATCTTAAGACGCTTTTTATATCATGCTTTTATCATTAAAAAAAAGAAAATCCCTAGGTCCATCAGCATTCCCCTATGTCGTGCACGCACACATGCATCACAATGTGCGTCTGTTATGTTCTCATTCCAGATCCCTGGGTGAAGAGAAATTTTCCATTGAACATGCCGAAATGCAACAAATCGCTGCGGAGACCGATGAGGTGAGCATGCTTTTTTTGTTTTGATGAACATGTATCAATGCGGTCGGTTGGAGCACTTGTGTTCACATCATTCACGGTGTAAAGCTGCTCAGTTTCAAACTTGATCTTGGATGTGAGAGAGAAAGAGAGAAAATTCAATCTTAAAAGTCAAAGTTGAATGACGAGAGGATGACCTAGTCTTTTCTGAATATTTACACCGATTATCGTTTTCTGAACTCGAAAAGGGGGAATGAGAATGAAAGAGAACATAACCGGGACACTTTGACCAATCGTAGCGGTGTAATCACGAGCCAGTGGAATTCTGTGGTTGGCTAGATGTGATTGCTGATTCAGGCAATGGGCTGACTGAATACTAGTCCAATCCTGTCGCCGATTGTGTCTTGTACACACTTGTCGTGTGTATTCATGTATGTACGTATGTATGTATGTATGTATGTATGTATGTATGTATGTATGTATGTATGTATGTATGTATGTATGTATGTATGTATGTATGTATGTATGTATGTATGTATGTATGTATGTATGCATGTATGTATGTATCTATGTATGTATCCGTGTGTGTCCTTACCGACGGTCAAATTTTGAGAGACGATTGGCGTCTTTGTTTAGCTTTCAGTCTATAACCTCTGTTTATTCCATTATGAAATCAGTAAAGTACCCTATTCGTGAACGATCCGCCACCGCATCACAGTTTTTCGTACGGGATTGATCGATTTTACTGGGAATCACAATAAATTCGTCTTACAAATGTTCATCACGCTCGTAAAAGTTGTACATATTAGTGTAAAAAAGTTCTTTTTACTTCCTCTTTTTTATTTATTGAATATACAACTGTACAGTCAACATTCGGGAAGGGAGGTCACGGTCATATAAAGGAAGACGGGCGGCGGTGAAGCGGTTCGAACCCGGGACTCACAGGTCACAAGCTTGCGTCTACGATAAAATTCTAGATTGTTAGGTGCTGACATAAGTGCTGTCAGGTCTCTACGGTGGAAAGTGGACAAATCTGGAGCACATAGCTTCATCTCCATTTGAAGCGAACCCAGTTACAGATGGTAAAATGTTCAGTGAATTGGATTTTACAATTCCTCGTTTGTTTTCGCACGATCTTTGGTTCGGCCATTTCTAGTCTAAGTAGTGCTTAGTGTAATTGGGTGTAAAATGATGGCTGACTACTTGTACCCTTACAATGCCCAGTTCGATGCATGTTTACGTAATACATATCTGAATGCAGACTGAATTATGAATTATGAATTACAAAATAGTATGCTGTTATTTTGGTGCCTTCAAGTGCAGCACTATCACATAAATCTAAATGAAAATGGGTGAGGGTGTGAAGAGCAACACATGGTACGATGACCTGGGTGAAATTTGGGTACAAATGAGTAAATATCACTCACGCATTATTCGGAACACATTGCTTTTTGGTTTTTGATTAAAATACTCGCGATTTGATGAAGTTAATAGGGTTTTATAGGTGCTCACAAATTGTTACCCTGTGTGACACAATGGGGGCTTGCTCCGATCGATCGTGATTTCGTTTGCGATGACTTTGGAGCAAAACTCTGTGGACATGCTGATGCGTGGGAATGGCCTAGTCAGATTAAAACAGTGCTTAATGTCGCATTTAGCCAGTGGTTAATCTGTCATGTGTAATCTTGATCTTGGATTCACTTTGCGTCTAACAAAGAAATCGATCAATATGAAATGCGGTATTTACCATCGGTGCCCTGGTTTATATGAAGAAATCAAGTGCAATCCAGTTTTTAAGTGCTCATCCATAATCCGAAACAGGAATTTCAAGGTCGAACTATAGTGAAAACCGGTCGCTTTTGTCTATCCTTACACTCAGTATTCCTACGGAGTTTCGCTTTGAATTGGACAATTTACAATTAGGCTCACAGTTGCTTGTAACGGTGTGGGACAAGTGTTATTGGTTTTCATTGAATGTGTTTTAAAATTTATCCTCAAGGGGCAATTCTCCGTTCATTAAATGAAACATTCTCAGAGATACAATAGATTCGAGTTCTACTCTGATTGAAGCTGATCAACAGTACTTATTCGTACAAAACCGCACGCTCAATTTTTGGCATTAAAGAAAGTGTGGCTAAGGGAAACAAATAAACGCCCATAGTTGGGCGACTGTTGCAGGATTCAAGCAATATGAACTCTTAGGTAATCAAAAATAATCTAAACCACTTGATAAACGCCGCGAATGTATGTATGAGTTCTGCGTGACAAGCGTCCACTTGAATATCTTTCAAAACAATGGAATTTCTTGAAATTTTTGTTTAAATGGTGTATTTCATTTGATGTACAAAGACCGAAAACAAGATACAAAGTCAAAGAGATCACCCCCGCCTCTTCGCATTCCAAACAGGCGAGCAAAACACTGACAGAGTCTTTAAAAAAGTTGAACGAAGCCGAATTCCGTCACAAATTTGCAACGGATCGATCAAATAAGGTACGGGAAGAATTGATCAATGAATTGGAGCAAATTGAAGCCAAACGAAAAGATGCAAGGTGAGCCCGGTACTACGTTTAGTCTGCCACCTTATACTTTCCCTCGATGCTCGCGCGTTCTCTTTCTCACTCTCTCTCTCTGTCTGTCTGTTACAGAACACACCCGAAAATCACATCACGGACGGTGATAGGCAATCAGTAGAGATATCACTAGTACATTTATCATACACCCCCACCCAAACAGTTCCATTCGTACCTCTCATATTTTGACATTTTAGGCTCAAACTGACAGATGCGTTGGCCACGGAGCCTCGCCTGATCGCCGACACGCAAACGCATATCGAAAACACCACAGAGGCGGAAGCTCGGACCGTCCGCATGAACACCGAATTGGCAGAGTGTATCAAACAGGTGGGGGTTGATATCCAGTCTGTGAGTCAGAAGATGCAACAACATGAGACAGCACAACGTTTGTTGGAAAGTTTGACCTACTGGTTACGCGTGCATCAACGACGTTTGGATACCCAATTTGATGGCAAACTCCAACGGGAGCTTGATGAAGCATGGGTTCAGCAACGGACCATCAACGACCGATTGGATGAGCTTCGTTTGAACAAATCAGATCTTCAGGTCAAGGTGAATTTGTGCGCGGATCAGACGAGCAAAAGGTGAGAGGGAACATTTTCGATTTTTCGATAACCATGCAGGTGGAGCAGATTCATTTATGGATAGATTTTCTCCTGCTACTTTCGCCATCTCTCTGTGTGGTATATTCGACCACATTAGTCGATTGGAAACTAATCACATAGATGGGCAATTGTTTGTTGCTCGGGACTGTCTTCCTGCGGGTCTCGATTATGCAGCCTTTGGTAAAAATCATCCGTGGATGGAGGTTTTGTTTGTTGTCTGTCCACTATCAGAATCATAATAAAGGATTGAAGGGAAGAGGTAAAGACTGCCGGTAGTATTCGTGAAAAGAACTATGCAGTTAGACATAATTTGCACAGAAAATGTACAGACGCACGAACTCGGTGTTCTCGACCGATTCAGCCATATCACTCGTCATCGCTTCATCTAGTCACGTGGTCCCGAATCAGGGCGCCCATTGCTACGTGTATATGCAAACAAATCTGTCCTCTGGTTGGGGTTTTCACACTCTCATGCCCAATTTTAGCCACCATCCGCATTCCTTAACCCATTGCCTGCATCAGTAAATACCCCATACATTGCGGATGCCTATCCTGTGAGGTGCAGAACACCATGAATATTTCTTACACTGCTTTGTGCTTCACATTTCTTGTCCGTGGACATCGACCAATTGCACAGCTCACGCTCAGCAATCAATACCATTTGAAGTGCAGTACTTTCATAAGGGTTTTAAAATTATTTCATTCAGTAATATTCACTGAAAAAAAACCCCGCTTGATGTCGATGTCTTATAACTGAGACACAATAGGACAAGGTTTATTGATTACTGTAAAAAGAGGAGTTTTAAATCAGTTCTGGTGATTAGAAATTATTCAATTCAAATGAAGAAATGAAAATCATAGGAAGTCCTGAAATATATCATCTCTAATAGAGAACCATTCTTGTGGAATCGATCAACTAACAGGGATTTATTAGGGACATACTGCCTCGAATTGTTCAATGAATCAGGTGAAAGGAGAACATGACATACAAACTTGACTGGTCTGAGTTGACAGATGTTATGACCTCAGGTAGAGTAAACAATTACTGACAGGTTTACCATGAGTAAAGATATCAGTAGCTTGCATTTCCAGTGCTTCTTAATGCGAGATATTGATTCACTACAAGATAAATCAACGAAACAGATTGGTTCTAGTCTTCCACTTTGCCATCAAATAGCTGTGATGGATGATCACTGTTTTCTTCAATTGTTTCACTTGTCGTTTACCTCCACCCCATCCTCATCACATCACACACACACACATACGTGCACGTGATCAGTGAAAAGGCAATCGAAAAACTGAAAAGCGAAATCGATCGCTTGAGAAAACGCATGTCTGAAAGTATGACCAATCTGGGACACAGCACGAATCGATTGGCCCGTGTGCAATCAGAGCATGAGAAAGTGGCTAACAATTTGGAACAAGTTCGACATAAAAATCGTATGGAACAAGAAAAGTTTCGAAAGCACATTAATGAATTAGACGAACGAATCAAACAGGTACGATTTATATCTCCAAATTATTTCTCGCTCATGCCATTGAGCTGCTTCTCTGTGACACAGACAAGTGAATTTTATGGAAGTTACTTAACCAGATTCGTTCTGATTTTATAGTAACTGTTTTACACTTTAATCTGAACACTTTATACTAGAATAAAATAAACCACACTAGTGGTTTTCTTCCTGAACAGACAGACTGACTACTACTACTGATTCATTCGCGGTTGCACCGTCTAGAATGGGGATCCGTGCTGTTCAGGTTCCCCATCGACATTCCACGCGTCAGCTGCTCCACACAGTCCCCCATCCGAACCCCAGATTACTCTAAGCAGCGAAAAGTTACCTCTGAAGGCCTGCGGTTTAGATAATTTGATGATTGTTGCGAACAAGCAATCATATGAACTCACTTTATTGACGATAGGTCTTATTGTGGCAACTGGTGGGTAACTAACATGCACTCGTTTTCACTAGGATTATGCTCCATCGACTATGAACAGCATAAAACCGAGGATTGGACCAGATTCAGGGCTGTTTTCAACTTTTTCAAGACCAAGGCAATCATGGCATACTATCTTCTCTCCAAGATCAGGTTGTATTTTGTACATTTTTGTTCCTTTAAACATTTCTATTTTAAATCAAATTCGTACTCATCAATCTGGCATGTATGCAACCATCAGTCAGACGATTGCAAATTGAACTATCAACATTTGCAATTAACCGTCTAAGTGGTGGATGGCAAACTGGTGTGCTGCACCACAGTGTATTGTGTATTGTGCTAGAGACGCGGATCAACAGTAGGAATACACTTCAGATCGATTAACGGTCTACAGCAAACCAAGTTTTCCATTTAAAACCAGTTGCAGTGTTCCCTTGTATTCTTACTGTTGATTCGTTTATTGATCAAACGGTATAAGTATTAACCCACAAAGAGAATGATGCAGGCAGATATTTAAAATTTCATAATGTTGGTATTGGGTGGACAGTTGAAAAAAATTTCGCGAACTGGAATACGCTAAAGACGTGGTCGGTCTGTTCGATGGTATGGGGGATGTGCATTGGGCACTTGAAAGATTACCAGGCTATTTTGCTGTTTTTGTTAAACGCGTGGTGTCTTTAAGTTTCCGTGATACCCAAGACTGGATTGTAGCCAACCTCACTTCAAAGTTCCATGTTCAGGAACGGAATATAGTTGATCGTTGCTGAAACCTTGTGCGACTAGTAACAATAGCGTGATCACTGGTTGAGCGGCGCACGCTGGACTGATTTAATGGTTGCCTGCCTTGGCTTCTGATGCGCCCAGATTGTTTGAAAATGTGTGTATTTACAGTTAGAACGTTTAGTCTTTGTACTATCCATATCGCATCGTTCTCGTTTTCCCGTCTTCCCTATCTCACTGCCTCTTCATTTTGCAAATTTGGGATAACTTGATATCTTTTTTTGAGCTTGGTAGCAATCCAAGCAAGGTTTTGATGAATGATAATCATCACACTGATCGAATTTTCTAACACGCTCGCGAATTTCTGATAAAAGAAAAATAATACGTTTTCAGCCAATTCATTGTTCTTCTAATTTTCGCGGTTCCGTATGAACCAAATTCAGAATTATCTCATTCGTTTGTCACACTCCCTGGTGTTCTCTGTGGAGTAAAAATACTAATTACTTCGCCGTAGTCAGTTAATCACTCAAACAACAACATCAACAAGTTACTTCTTTTATCTGCACTTCATGCGCGACACACATTTACCCAAAAACAATGTACCACTCAATCGATCAACAGGAAATGACCACTAGAAATAGCATCTTGGCCTCTATCAAACGGGATATTGCAGAGTTGGAAACGGCACGTGCCCAGGCTAGATCAGAAAGAACTCGTTTACAAAATCGTGCGGATCAACTGCAAAAAACTGTCACCGCAGTGGAGGAAAAGGCCAAAAATGTACGCGTTGAACACGAGCGATGCATCACCGAGGCTAGACTGGTCCGCGAAAAGTATGAATCGGTGAGTTTACACTACTCGCGCACGAAATTGTTCTCTCATTTCGTTCACATTCAACCAATATGCAATATGCAGTGTGCTTTTTGATGTGTATTCAAATTTACATGACCTACATCACCCACCTCACAGCACGCTCGTACAGTAGTCCGATTCATTGCCAGTTCCTTAACAAAACAAACCAACAAGTTTAAATCGATCGATCGATCAATAGATTTACCACCTCGAATCTGTCAATATTCCTGAAACTGAACTGCATGACAGTGTCTACCGGAAGTGTATACTGAATGAACTCGGGTGCGTATCAGATTGGATCCGGGGAGATTGTCCGTGAGAAGTCTGAACGCTAGGTTTTGACAGAATTCGTCAAAATACAGAAAAAACAAAACAATGAAACCGAACTGTTCGGGTTCAAGGGATAGGGGNGGGGGGGTGAATTGGAGTGGAGTGGAGATCGAAATCGCGTGATTCGCATTAGGCATTATTATGGTCCGATTCATGTTGTGCATTTAAGGGTGCGTGGTTAGCATACACATGTGTGTGTGTGTGTGTGTGAATACATTAACAACACGATGTGTATGAAAAGCGTGAATCCCATGCAGCTGGAGATTGATGCACACACGAGGACTGAAGGGGGAACATTCATCCTGAGCATAACTTGCTGATTCCGAACGTGAATTCGTAATGGTTCGAGGTTGAAGAAAAAACAGATTGACGAAGAGTGTATCACCATTCCGCAGTTCGCCAGGTTCCTAGAGTTATAAGGTTTTAATGACTTACCGCGTGTAAGGTGGTTTCGTGTGGAAAACGGGAGCGGAGCTGAAACTCGGTTGACGAGCACTGAACAGCTAAGTCCGGGGTGATAACGGGAGAAAAGAGACGGGGGAGAGGTGATCGCACGGTTATGGACAGATGGGTCGGTTGGGCAATCAGGTGAAGAGATGGGCCTGAAAGTGCCCAAGAAGAACAGTGGGCAGGCACTAGATGTGGTTATACTAGCCCTGAAGTTTCAAGTATATGAGGAGACGAAGTAGAGCTGTACAAGATATAGAATAAAGCGACTGTGCATCGAAATACAGATCAGGATGACAGGGGTTATGCCCGCAGGATAGAAATCTACAACAGATTTTAGTAGTATGGAGAACGACTCGATATTTAGTCCGCGAAGCAGCAATTGCACGCAGGTTTGAAGTGAGTGAAAAAAGTAGACAATCGATTGCGAGTAATATTGAAAGAGGAACTTCAGGGAATCATTCTAAGGAGGTGAACATCCTAGTCATCATCATCATAATGCAATATAATAAGTGATGACTAAACTATGGGTAGCATTCGACCATGGAGCTTAAATGTTTTCCTATTTTTGATTGATCTTCATTCTATCGGCTATTTTGTCATACATTGTTATACGTGAATTACTGATAACGAGCTAGTTAGCGATCAGTCTTGACTAATTCAACCAAATACCTGACATAACCTGTCTGTAAGCACCGCAAAATGTTATTCAAACAGGCATATTGTGCTTGTAATCGGACGGACACGTTGTGAATGAACGCGGTGTGTGTGAGTGCGCGCGCGCGCTTTTCTTCGATCTGCACTATAAACGCTGAAATGGCTGAATAGTACTCTTTATGTTAGCAATATTTCTCATCCAATTCAGTATGAGGTACACTTTAAATAGCTCCACACGTTTACTTTCATCCATTACAGGCGGTTGTTGTTGTTATTGTTACCGCTTGGGTGGTCGTGTGTTCGAACCTCACCAACGTTCTCGTTTCGATAGGCCTCCTGGTATGCCTTGGATGGGCCGCTTCCAACCCCCCCAACCCCCCACTCCCCGAAATGTTGATTATTTATTGAAAAAATCAAGATGATAGATTACATATTTTGGAGGATCAAGGTCGAGAATCTCTGCGGACACACTCATTGTACTGGAGAGTCTCATCGTATAATACGTATTTTAGCGAGGAGTTTTTGTTTCGACATACTTCTAAAAGTTGTGCTTTGTTAAGAAAAGGAACCGTTTTGAAACAAACTGCGAAGAAAGTGTAACTCCTCCTGGTGGAGAGTAATAGGAAACCATTATAGTATTCATCCTGTCAAGCTTTACATTCCCTATTGATTTTTACAGTTACAATGTGCAATACCGCTTGTGTTCTTGTTCCTGTATCTCTCTCTCTCTCTCACACACACGCGCACACACTGCCCAACACACACAGCTCCAGTCCGAATGGAACGAGGAACGGATTAAATTGGAGAGCGAAATCGTTCAACTGGAGCCAACCAATCGAGAGAACCAGCGCCTTTCTGATCAGCTGA